CCACCCTTACCATCAATGGTCTTGATACCCGGCTTGACTACATGCTCTCCTGCCCCTGCCTTGCTGTCAGACAACCCTCTTCCTAGCGGGGTGAAGGTCTGCCCAGAGACTTTGGCAATCTTGTGCGGAGGTCCTATGGAGGCGGTGGGTGCTTCCCGCTTGCGTTCTGGGTTGGCTCGGAGCTCTGAGCTGTCTTGGCTACCTCCTGCCCGAGATTTGGCACCCAGAGCAATAATTTCTCCAGCAGGAAGAACTGGTGACAAGGAGAGAAAAAACATCGGGCTGAAAACGACTTCTTTTATTATTTTCTTTATTACAGCCATGTAACCTTTTTTATCCTAACAAGTACAATATGTCTGTGTTCAATAAATCCTTTTTCAAAATCTTGTATTTACTGGCAATTTTAAAAGGTAGTTTTAAAATAGTTTTGACATGATTTCCCAATTCTTTTTTGAAGAGCATACTATCATACATACAATTAGCAACCTAGCAGATAGTTTACCCCGTAAGTAGTGAACATACCAGCGCAATTTCAGCTCATAAAATCAAGCAGATGTTTAGATTTGCCCCCGGATATCCCAGATAAATTTTTCGAAAGAAATCCCTATAAATCGGGATTTCCAAGTTTACAACGGAGGAGTATTCGTCAGGCCCTGTTTACCGGTCTAGTTTACCCCCATGAGTAGTTAACACACCGGTGCAATTTCAGCTCATAAAATCAAGCGGATGTTTAGTCACGTTAGTTATGCCACCGGATAAAATCCCTGTGAATCAGGAAGGGGCCCTGTTGTGCCAGTATACGACGGAGGAGTATTTGTCGGGCCCTGATCACGGGTCTAATGCCGTGTTGGCCCTGGTGAACTCCCTGACCATACTACATAAAAGAGGGAGTCCAGGTATAAAGGGTGCAAATCGGGTGAAAAATTTTGAAACTAAAATTTGCAACATTTGTACCTTTTCCATGGAGCCAATTTCACGTCTGTAACTCCTATGCATCCTTATCTCCACTTTGGTGGGTTAAGAAATTCGACACATCACCACCAAAGACAAAAACGGGAAAATAAAGTTGGACATACAGTAACGTCAATTCTTGCCATTGATGTGGACTGTTTTCAGCCGTTCTCCAGTGCAGTTGGTACAGTGTGCGCGCGCAACTATTCGGCGTACGAGATTCCGAGCCACTCACACGCACATCGAAACTACATGTTCTGAATGGAACCAGCGAAACTGAAGTCTAAACAAATCCACTTGTTTGGAAAACGCTCACATAAAGCACATACCGCACAACGGCACGGTGGTTCTCAGCCATGAGTACCATTGATCTCCATGCCCAGTACACACAACATTGGGCCAGGCGAGGCTGTGACGTGCGTTGGTGACAGCTGGCCTAGTTACCTGCACGCAAGCTGAGTCTACTATGGCCAGTACGGGAAAGCTAAAATTCAGGATTTGTACAAATGATTTGTACAATTTTTAGCATGTATTATGTGTTAACAAGTGGACTTAAATAGACAGACAAAAGGTGTCCACAAAATTTGATAGAAGTTAAGGGACCTGGCAGTTCTGTGTCGAGCGGAGAAGGTAGGCCTATTATCCAGCAAGGCTTTGGCACATTTCTGTTGCTAGCAATTTACTAATATCTGTTGATTTGGTCCATTTTAAAAGTTATACCGAAGACATTTTTTTAGAGATGGAGAATTTTTCCAGAAAGCACTGGCTGAATGAATATTGGTTTTAATAAACTAGGCAACTGATATGAGAGTCAAAAATGGCAATTGACAATCATGATCACTTGGGCCTGAATTTAAAAACAAAATATCACCTAGGCCTACTTTGAGGTTTAAAAACTTCGACACAGTCTAGCTGTCCATTGCTCTAACATCCAAGTCATCACTGCCAATTACCAATTAAGTCTGCTTATTGTATGTTTAGTTTACAAATGAAAAAGGAAAGGTTGATCAACAGCACGATTTGAGCGGGATCGCTACTTACCGCACATGTGAGCGCCAGTACACCTCTGCATACTGTGTTCCCTATCAGTATAACATCGCTCTGCCTGTCTATCACGATCATCATGCCCGCAATGTAATCCTCTTTTTATTCCTCAATTATCAAGATAAGTTAACGTTTCATTTTAATTTTATGATGTACATGTATTTATACATCTTTAACCAATAAATCTCTACGAACAAATTAAACATCACTTCAAAGAGAGATCATTGATGAACTTATTCCCATACAAGAA